GTATGGCACTTCTGTTGTTGAGGCGTAGACGTTTCTCCCGCAAAACGTCCTTAGTGGTGAGACAGAAGCTCCGAGAAATGGCTGTATTCACAGGCTACCCCCCTGGGGCTACTCCCAACCCTACCCTTTAGAAGCCCTTAAGAAAACATTTCTGTTAAGAAAAATATTGTCAAATTAAAACAGTCTAATGCTACTGGGGGGAAATATATCACATAAATATAATTTTTGGACTACTGTTGGGTTAAATAACAATCTTTATTATGTAGACACAAGTGTTTTACTGGAAAATATACCACTCGTAAAATTCATAAAAACTACACCTGGGACCCGAGTGGTTTATTTTCCATAATCTCACACGTGAGTTTATCGATGACGTAATTTCGGTCATTTCCCTCTATTATTTTACAGATGTCTTTTTGTCTATATAATAAAAAGAACATTACACGGCGGCTTGAAGATATGAATTCTGTTTTCTCACGGCAAATGTATCATGTATCGGTCAAATCGAACCTTCAACATGCCCCCCCCCCCGGGCAACCCCCTGGGCATTTGACTTTTTTGAAATTTTTTGTTCAAATTCCCCCCTACCCGGGCCAAGATGCCGTTCAAATGCCCCACACTAGGGTCCATTCAGGTGATCAAATGCCCCCACCCCGGGGACATTTTACAGGCACAAAAATGACAGAAGGACGGCGGAAACGCCTTCAGTTGTCGAACAAAATCTTTATAAATATAACAAAAACTGAGAAACACGGTTAGCGTATTTACTACGAACAAAAGTCTCGTGCAAAGCGGCGGAAATCGCTGCTACAAGGTCACTGAATGCTCAGCTTTTCTTCGTCATGCAACATACAAAGCGTTGTATAAAAAAAGATCCCACCTATTGACATTACTACATCATGACCATTTCACTGACACGCATCATCGCTCATCTTATTAATTAACATACTTACAGTAGGTAAAAGTAGTTGACCTGAGCTTTTTATTTAATTTTATGTTGTTGTATTGAATCGCCGGTATAAGTGTTGTATTTCATTGTAAACTCAACAATAAAATACATTCACACATTCAAAGCCTGAATCCAATATTAAAAATTTTAAAATTTAAATACTTCAGATACGGCACAAGCTTGTTTAAACACTTTCCTCGTAAATAATTGGCCACAAAGGCACAATCTTTTCCACGAAAATCCTCTAACACCGCTTCCCCCATGATAGCTCGCCACGCCAAAGATTTTACATGAAATCGAGGGTGCAGTTCAGCTTCCCCACCCCTAAAGCATGGGGATCAAATTCCCCACCCCCTAGAAGACTCTGATAATCAAATTCCCTCCCCCCCGGGACGGCAAAGGTGTCAAATGCCCGGGGTATGCCCGGGGGGGGGGGGGCATGTTGAAGCTTCGATTTGACCGATACATTACTCACTCGCTGCGCTCGTTCGAAAAAGATTGTTTTGCCACTCGAAAATAAAATTCATATCTTCGCGCCACCGTGTAATATACTCTATATAATTAACCGCAAGTGTAACAAGTACACAGGCAAGCACATATAATACTAGCCTCCCACGCAAACGTTCTTAGGGGTTCGTCACGTAATCTTTCCTCCCCCGTGGGGGAAAGATTGCGTGACGAACCCCTAAGAACGTTTGCGTGGGAGGCTAATATAATACGTGCTGGTGAAAATTGTTGGGGTAAAAAACAACTTCCTATCAAAACGTCAGTAAGAAAAGAAACAAAAAAGGTAACAAAAGACTGTTGAATTAGATTATTTGCTCTTAAAGCATGAAAATAATGGCTACAAACTTTGAAGTCGGAAAATACAAAAACATCGAGGAAAGGACCTGCGTCGCGCTTTCGTCGCGCCATCTTTGAATTTTATGTTTGTTCCCAGTAGCCGAAATAAACACGCGGTCGCTAAATGTTGCGCGCAACTAGGTCGAGTCGGGAAATGCAGCGAGGTGGGGGTCGGGGGAGTAGGCCTTGCGGAAAATGCTTCCTCCTTTTTTGCGGCTTTTTGTGATAGCCGGAAAACCCAAGAAAAGATGGCCCAACCAAGCCATCCTTATCCGGCCTACACAACAGACAATTTTGTCTTTTTCTTCCTCTCGACTCGCGTGTCTCGCCCTTGCTCGCGCCCCAAACCCCGTCTGATCGCCAGACGATACAGCATGTCCATTGACTGGAGTCTTTGTTATCAATGTCTATGTGCTAAAAGTGTCCTTCGCAGCCATTTTTGTCTCCTAAATGAAGGTTGGTAGTGCAATTAAACATTTTATTTTATTAACTGGGCTGCCTGTGACGAGCCCAGTTCATAAAATACTTTGGATTTGTTCCCTGGGGAGAGGGTAGGGCGGTATTCATAGCAATCTGCGGTGGGGATGTGCCATCTAACTTTCCAAATCCTTACCCTAGACCAATACCTATAAGGCAAACGTAAGGAAGTACCCTCCAGGATTTTTGGACCAATTAGGAGCTTAAGCAACGACGACGGCGACGGCAACGAGAACGTCAAAAAAGCAGTAGGCTTATATTAACCAAACAAAAACGAAAAGACCGGGGCCCGGTCCCTGAAAGGCCGATTAGCGCTAATGGGGGTTAAAATTTTGTCCCACTATTTGTATTTACCTTTCTATGCATTGCTTAGAGTAAGATTTTGTGTTATCATTTCTTTTTTTCGAAGCAAAGACACAACAGCATTTTGTAAGCTCGATTAACATGTTCTTGAACAAGAAAACCATGCTTAAAATCTGGCTTAATACCAGATTAAACCTAATCATCTTTAAGGAACCGGGCCCAGATATCTCAATGTTACAACTTTCAATATCCTCTAAACTGCAGCAGTGTTTTTCTTTATGTAGTAGTCGGGCTTCCTCTTACAGCCCTCCCATGTGTAGAAAATAGGCAGCAATGTTATCCTCTTTTGCGTTGGAGGGTTCAGTATCAAAAAAACATATCTACAATCCTGGACAAACGTCCTTGAGACAGTAAAAGCATGTCAGCAGTTCTATGTGATTCACAAGTAACGTTCGCAAAAGCAGTGCTGAGCCAATTCATTGTTAAACGATCAAAGAAATTGTGGGTCAGTATAATGGTAATTGTTTCAATGCTGTCCGGGGGGTGGGGAAAGAACTGAGGGGGTGCATTGTTAACTACCATATATAGCTTACTAGCTGTTTGTAACATTTTCCTTCCACGAGATATTTTTCTTCTAATAAAAGACGGCACCAAACACTATACAAACAAACTCGCGAAGGAAAAACGTTAAAAAGAAAAGAATACTAATACCATACGAACAAATGATGTGAGGAAAGCGTTAAAAACACACTGTTGTAAGGAAAAACGTTGAAAAAAAACAGCAACAGCTAAGCAAGACCGTGCAAAGTAAAGGGAGATGTCTTACAAAGAGCAGTGCCTTATGCTGAGGTGCAAAACTTAATTATCCTTAGTTGAGTGTGGACTCGAGTGTTACAAGAGATCCATAGCGTCCAGAATCGATCGTCTGGGTTTTAGATCTGGTCAGCAATTTTTGGAAAATTTCAAGATCTTTCTGGCACGATTCCAATGCGGTAAGATATTTCACATGTAAGTTCTTGCAGGAAGGATTTTAAAAATTCAGGATCTTGCCAGTAACATTAAGAAAAGTTCAAGCTCTTGCCAGCAAGATTTCAAGATTGGAGGCACAATTTCGCCATATTCAAATTGCGGTTTCGTTAGCTGACATAGCTTAGAATCGTCAAGTGACCAAACGTTGTTCGCTAGTAAAATCGAAGAACACACCGACAATGTCGCTTTTAGGGTGTTTTAGGGGAAATCATAAAGGAATATAAACGGAGGGGCTTATACCATGGGGGGCTTTAGTAATCGGAAAGGAAAAAACGCTTCGAAACAAGCTATAGCAGTGCATGCTTATAAAAGGACCTTTTGCATCAACTGGATTTTTATAAAGCTTTAAAACATAACTAAGGTTGGGAATCGTTTAGGGAACAACGCTTGGGAAGTGAGCTCAAAAAAGAAACAAACGACTATCGGATACAAAGTGAAAAGCCTTTATTTTACAAACGTCGTTCTCTTGCCGAACAACACACAACACTGATCATCATGTAAAAATGTCTTGTTTCCAGTACTGATCATAATTCCAGACCTTTAAGAAAAACAACAAGGTGTTAGTTTTAAGAACCCCTTGCATTACAACAGTATAGTAGGAAATATGAGGCACGACATAAAAATTTTGGGTTCTCCTCGATCTACTCTCGTGTCCTGTCCGACTAAATGATGGTGCCTGCTTTATACGGGTTTTACTGTACAACAAATAAACGACACTGAGAAGATTTTAAAGGCTTATGGGAATATCAAGCGACTCAGTGTTTTCTGTAAATTATCTGTTCGGAGAAGCAAATATTTCCTAGAATTTTCTCTTACTTAAAGAAGGATAAACATTTCTGGATGACCGTTCTAATCAAATAAAATTTCCGAACCTCAACTAATAAATTCTTTAAGTTCAATTTTATCACATTTCACTGCCGGCCAGGGTAGGCTATTTTTCGTAGAAAAAAGAAACCTGAAATTTTCGGATTCAAAAATGTGATGAAGAGAGGGATCAGAAAAATTATCACTTTCGCTATAAGTTAAATTTCATCTAAGAGTTTTGGATTACTAAATCCGAAGGCCTTGTAATTTCGAAAAAGATTCAATTTCCCCTAGGATGACCGAAGAGATGCAAACTTGATAGAGCCTCTTTGAATTCATTTTCTAGAGATCCAAAAGTACCCTAGCTGGATAGTCTAAAAAGTGTTACTAATGTATGTAAGAGGAAACCTTCGTTAAGTGCCCCTGTGAAATAAAGAGCTCAAGACCTAGTGACGACGAGTTTTTGAGACAAATCAACTCCACACCCTGCATTTTCGGGGATCGGAAGGAAAAAACGCAAATAAAACCCGAGGTTTTTTTAAACAATCTGTTAACTTTCCCATGTGTAAGGATTTTGAGGAAACAAACCTTAGTTTCAAGGTGGGCGGTCGAGTTCCAATGCCTCCAGTCTCTTCCAGTCAAAGCCGTGAAAGAAAGCATGATCTCTGATCCAGGGGTAATCGCCTCCTTTATACCCGAGACGGTCTTGTGGATATTTCTCTAGTAACTGAAAACATCCAAAAAATGTGATATGTCTTGTAATACCGGTATTTAATCTCAACTCAGAGACCTTTGTTTAAGGAAATGTTAGGCTTTTATGATACTCCGTAACGGAAGTTAACGTTGACCTAGTTTTAGTCTAGTCATATTTGTTCTTCACTCATTCCAACATAAAAAAGATTTCTCTACCCTTCAATATACCTGAATCCTAAAAAAGGAAACCCTTTCTGGTGGAGCCTTCCCGTATAATCCGTTATGGGGAGCAGTTACCCCGGGGAGAAGGGAGTCAATCTTTGGATTTTTTCACTAAGTGTGGCCTCTATTGATATCGACTGACAATAAATAATTTGGGTACATGTAAAAAAATAAGGGAATATAACCTTTCATGTATGATTTATGTATTTGACACTTACGTGTAGGAACAATTCAGTGGCGTCAATGGACAGCTCAGACAATGTTTTTTTGTCCGGTTTCTGTGGGTAGTCATATACGATCAAATCAAATAACTCATCCTCCGATTCAGCATCAAACGGCATCTGAAATGTACATTGTTAACTAAGAAGGTTACCATCATCATAGTCTAAGTTCAGTTTCACCTTTTTCGTGTTAAGAACAAGATAACTGAAATAACATTTGAAATACAAACCATTCCAGTGAGCATCGTAAACACCATGACTCCAAGAGCCCACCAGTCCACACATGCGTCGTATGGGTCCTGTAAAATAATCTGCAACAAATAACACCTTGCACTAAGCTAACATCAGCACGAGAAGATGTTATTCCATGAAAACAAGTCGAGCTTCTCCTAAGCAAAAGATCTTACTACGAGGTTTGTGATTTTTTCATGAGTAGATCATGTCGTGTATTGTTAGCTTTGTGGAAACTGAACAGCTCTTCCTTCTTCCAGTGTATCCAACATTAGTATATATATTACAGGTCAAAATTAAATTCAGGTTAAAATTATTTAACGTAGGTTGGTTCTCTATTTGCTTTGTTTCATGTCCCTAATTATTCATGAATTAGGGCAAGGATACAAAGAAAATTGAGATTTAACCGAGCTAGCTCAAATCAAAATTAACCTGAAACCAAATTTGACCTGTAACATATCTGATCTGGTACAAGAAAACATCGTATTTAATAGCCTGTATAAAGATTTGTTTTAGCGTTAATTATCAGCACTGATTCACTAAGTAAAAAGCAGGATATCAGGCCCAGGGATATTTTGGATGGTGGTTCTGAAATGGGTCATAGATCTGGGATAAAATACTGAGTTATTGACCAAGAAAGGCTACACGAGAAACTGATTTAGACACTTGGTTCACAGGGCTTAAGGGGGAATTACGGTTTGTTTTTTGGGAGATGATGTTGATTAGGTTAGAATAGGTGTACCAGTTATTCCGCTAATGGGATCAGAGGCACCTTATTGTGGTGGTGGACTATCTGGTAATTGTCTACTAATTATTAACTTCATATTTCAATTTTTAACAACCCCCAAATCCAATGTTTTCCCATTTTCCCAAAGTTTTAAACATCTTCCCCCCTAAATTTTATAGGTTAAAATATTCGAAAAATCATCCAAAAATTCAAAAATAATTGTGAATTAAGGACTGCAACATAATTGAGTCATTTTTTGATTGAATGATATTTAGGAGAGGTGGTGGAAATCAACGAAAAATAATGCTTTTAACCATACTTCCCCCTTAACTAACGCTACAGTACCATGGTTTACCTCAGGAGCCATGTAAAGAGGTGTCCCGATAATTTCTGCGTTGATAATCTTTTCCTGTGTAACTGGATCGATGATAGCGGACAATCCGAAATCGCTGATTTTGATGTGCCCATTTTTGGTCAGCAAAATGTTTTCAGGTTTCAAGTCCCTGTCATAGGATAAATAAAAATTTACGCAAATATTAAAGGCATTGATTTTTAAGTAAACTGAGCCAAAAGAGATGCAACCGTAATCTTCGAGGAAAAGGGATAAATAGCCGCATAATGATAAATTTAACTTTCTTCACCCATACAAGGACCTTAGAGAGCGCTGAGTCCTGTCATGATAGACAATGATCTAGCAAACGATCACCTACTTTTTACAGTCATGTGATTTACGGCTGACAAGTGTGAATTTCAGCTATTTCTCATATTTCTGCTCACCTGTGAATGACACCTTTTTGGTGTAGAAATTGCAATCCAGCGATGATCTCAGCAGTGTAAAACCTAAAACAAAACGACAAGCAATATGATGTTTTAAGTAAAATACTACGTCTCATTAGCAAGATTAAATGACCTCAATTGATAGCTTATAGTTCATAGTTCGATTCCTAACGAAACTGTAACTAACGCTTTGTTGAATGACTAAGCGTATATGGACGCATACAAAACATGACCCCCGGTCCATGGACCATCTCCGCGGACCCAGTCCGCGGACCTCTTCGTGGACCCGGTCCATGGACTACTCCCGCGGACCACCCCTAATTTTTGAACCTGAATCTTTAGCAGCTAGAGGTCTAAACGAGATTTAGGAACCTTAAATGGATGAAACTGTGTCTTTATTATCAGGATTGAAGGTTCCTCATATTATACACTTGCTCAAATTTTTCCTGAATTCCATTCATGGGTTTGGTTAAGCCTGGGAGGAGAAACAATATTTTGTCCTTAGTCTCATACACAGCTGTTTTTGGTTCGATTTTCACACAACAGGAACACGAAACAAGCTGCATAGGATACTTCTTCCTCCATACTTCTGCCCCTCTAAAATATGTTGACTCCTTCACCAGACTAAAACGAACCCATCCAATTGCTATGGAATTGAAAAAAAAGTAAGCGAGTGTAAAATATGAGGAGCCCATACCACTGATAATAAAAACTGACCACATTTTCGTCCATTTAAGGTTCCAAAAATGTGTTTAGTCCTCTGGTTAAATTCATCTACGAAAATTAGGCGTGGTCCACAGGGGTAGTCCATGGACCGGGTTCACGAAGCGGTCCATCGGAGTGGTCCATAGGTGGTACATTTTTTGTATACGTCCGCGTATGTGAGGTGAAGGCGTGAAGTTTCTATCACTTTTTTTGACAGAATTGTCTTGTTTACCGGTTTTTGCATCCTCGGTTTAATTTGAAGGTTACATGTATTGGGTAGAACTCAGTTGATAGAACCAGTCGTTATTTCAGGATGAGTGGGTCAAGAATAATTTACGATGATTTCGAGCCAGTACTAATGGAACGTGTCTTACTAAAGTGTTAGTAGGCATTCGGTTTAAAAGGAAAACTTGACCAAATGTGTTAAATTCTGTCCTGTTTTCTTTCATTGTCACGTTATAGACTGTTTTCTCAACAGCTGCTCGAAAACTTTGGTATGGAAGTACGATTACCTAGTTCGATTTTCGCTGAGCCATCCATTCTCATCCAATTCAGTGAAAAGGTCTCCTCCTTCAACGAACTCTAGTATAATGAAATGACCAGGGTACTATAATATGAAAATACAAAGAAACTATTAGTTGACCCATAACATTCTATTTTCTTTTAGGTTATAGTGAGTAAAATTGAGAAAGATCATGAGGCACAGAGAGAAACGCCCAGTGGAGCCGTTATAGGTAAAAGGTAAAGGCGTACACGAGCCAAAGACCCACGCTGTCGGAGTTTATACCGGTTTCCGAAGCATGATGCAAGCCTAGGAGTATTGCTTCTCCCCCCTGGACAGGATGCTAGTCCATCGCAGGGTTCACCCCAAGCAGTATGTAGCCGGCACCCGTTTATACATCTGGGTGAAGAGAGACAAAGTGGAGTAAAGTTCCTTGTCTTGGGAAACAACGCGACTGGCGAGGCTTGAACCTCAGACCTTCAGATCCAGAGTTTGAGGAGTTAACCCATCGACCACAAACGCCTCACTCAAGCCTCATAGCACAGGTATAATTCACAATCTTTCGGAAGGCTTGTAGTCCCCTGATTTCCTTCAAGTTCGTCAAGATGTAGGTATGCTATAAATGTAATTGGCCGGCCGTTTTTTCCACATGGGCGGACGGTCGGGAGTGGGAGTTTATACCGGGGGTAGAAGGAGGAAAAATGTTTGTACAATTTTGAAAAGTATCATACCGGGTTCTCAACTTCTTCACAAAGTCTTGTTATGAAAGGACTGGACGAGGCGAGGCTCAATACTTTCTCTTCCACACTGCTTGGGTCAGGTTCAATTATCTGCTTTACCGCGTATTGTCTGTTGGTGCGACGGTTCTCACAAAGACGAACCTATAAAAACATTGACAGATATTTTGGAATAAGACACGCTTTCAGATGTAGCGGTTGATAGGCGCGGTATTAAAACCGGCCTTTTTTAGTTCAAACCCAGTGCGTTTCCAAAGAACTTCAAATTACTTCCTTACTCGAAAAATAGCCCCAGATATCATCCACTTGTTGGAGAAAGAAGGAATTACACAGTGTGTATATCATATTCACCTTTGATCGCTTATTTGTTGATTAAATGGGCGCACACTTAGCAAAATCGAAAAAAAACAAAGCCTTTCAACTTCTTTAACGGAGTTTTGAAATTAATAAATAGATAATTACTTATTTAATTAATTGATCAACTAATTGATAAATCGCTTGTTTTTTGACCACGAGATACTCGCCACTGTAGGGCGGTGATCCGCCGAAAGTTAGTCTAAATTTTGTGCAAATTAATATTACGAATCGTTTGTGATTATTGTTTGATCCTTATAAGAGTCTCTCACCTTTCCAAACGCTCCCTCACCAATCATCTTGATGGCTTTAAGTTTATACAGTGAGATCGACTTTCTTTGTTTCTTTGTCTTAATGTCCTCTAACTGCTCTTCTGATCTTCTACGTTTAACGGGGCACTAGTCAATCAAGAGGAATAAAATAAGTTATAATCAGACTATGAAATGAGTATTGAACACGACTTGGCATTTTACTATATATAACTTGAAAGTGTGTAGTTTTGTAAAGTGAAACTTCAAAATGGGAGAGAATAGATTTATAACTGATATCGACTGCTTTCATAATTATTTTATTTACTTTCTTGCATTTTATTTGTTTACATGGACCGTCAAGTTCCAGAAACCTCATAAATATTAAAGAAAAAAATCAATATTTCTAAGCCTCATTGCAGACAGGCCCACACACAGTCAATAATCCAATAAGGGAGTTAATGAATGGGACCAAAACTTGTTTTCAAGAATAACTTAAAGTGGGTTGTTCATAACATGCAGTAAACATAAGCTTACTTTTTGACTTTCCTGTTCTATTTTCACTGGCGCTTTTTCCGTTAATTCTTGAATTTTAATTTCACCTGTTGCAACTTCTCTGATAATAAAAACAGACACAACACAATTAGCTACAGATCATATTTCATTTAAAATAGCTTTAAGTTTCAAATACAAAATTTGATGCACTAGAAATGTCTTGTAATCTCACTGACAAAGTAAAAACCCTGGAAATTTAATTCGGTTATCAGTTACTTGCTTGCGCGAGGCAGCACGCGCGCGCACTCCTTTTTCACGCCCGAGCTAGCCTCGTCCCTAGGTCAGTTCGCGCTATCCAAATAAAACGAGGAGGCTTGGAACAGAGCGCGATCTTCTGACGACTGGGAACGAGTCTGCGTCTCAGCTTCAGGGCGGAAAAACGTTCTGCGCAAGCTTCTGCGCATCCCTTATCGCAGGCTCAAGGCGGGAATTTTCTGTGTGTTGATTGTTTGTTGCTGGAGTTCTGAGTGAAATGCACGAGGTGCGAACGTTTGCTCTTTGTAAAGCAATTTTATTTGACATGTTTGCTTTTTTTTCGTCGCTTAAAAATTACTTTGGATTAAGAACAACCAATGTTAAAGGAAAAACGGATCATTCCGTCAGTCTGAGGTGGAATAAAAGGTTTTGAACATTTCTAAAGAGGCGAGTATTTTTTCTGATTGTGCATCCGAATAATTTATGAGTTGATTTCGCCGGGTTGAATTAAAACCCGCTTGTATTCTGTTATTAGTAGTTACGGTTACTTTTTTTACATGCCCAGATTTATTACCTTTGCAGAACCAGCTTTATCTTTGTCGTCAGTCAAAGAACCATATTGCTTTTATAAGGCATCAGAGTGCACAAACTTGTGCGCTTATTAAACTTTCTAGGAAATAGAAGGCCAGCAAGCTTACTCACGATCATTTTTCTATTGCTCAAGTAATAATAGTCAGAGTTTTTTTTTTTCATTTTTCATTACATAGTTTTGTTTTCCAGTGCACTGTGAAAGTTTCTGTTCTTTATACTGAATAACTTTCTGTACGCAAATTGTCCTTTTCCCTCGCTGCGAAATAGAGACCGACAACTGCCGGCAGTGACTTCAAAACAATTGACTCTTCTCCCGTAAACAATTGCTGCAGCTGGATTTGACTGAGGCGAGCAAAACAAACCCTTATGTGTAATTTTCTGTATTTTCTAATGATCGGCTGAGTTTAATTTGCTTACTTAGTAAACGAAGACCCTCGCATGGACCAGTTAAGCTTAAAATAGCTATAAATGGTGAATCATGGCTTGGCTACCAAGTAGCAACTGATCTTTTGCTTTTAAGATCTTTAGGTAGGTTGTTTTCGTACAGAAAATTTATTTTTGCATTGTGAGCAAGAAATCTTTGAAATAATGTAACTTTAACTTTGTTTGAAGGAAATCCTACTGACGCGTAGGTTTTTGACAGATGTTATGCGTGTTCAACTTGACAACAAAGCAAAATTTATGGGAATTTATATATCTGCGCGAAACGAGCAAGTTTAAAAAACTATAGTTACTTTGAAACCGATTTTTTGAAAGATTTTGCTGGATAAGGATTGACCTTTTTTCTGCCCACGTATCAACGCAATAACTTCTACATTGAGGATTTTGTTTATATTTTAGTGATCTGTGGAACTACGAGTGTCCGATCGAGCGAGGGTTTTAAAATATCAGCTCGAGTGCGAAAAAGTTCAGTGACTTCAAACACATTGTGGGCAAGCGTTAATTTTTTTGGGCAAATCACTGTCCAAAGATATGTTGTTTTTGTGTCCACAGTGGAGCTCCGGACCTTATATATCCAGGAACTTCCTTATATGAACACATTTTGTGAATGCATCTTGAAAAAAATCGGACCTACGCATGCACATTTCCAGTACAACGCAAGGAAATTAATTTCGTTAAAGTCCGTTTTACTATGAGGTATTCTTCGAGAAAATTAAGAAACGACAAGGTTATAACCACAGCTTGCAACTTTTGAAGACAAATTGCCTGTTCTTTCCAGGTTATGAGTGGAAACATCTTATTTTTAGGCAATAAAATATTTGAAATCCCGCCATTTTTTCAAACCCGGTCAGGGGATCTGGGCAAAAAAGTTGACGCATGCTCATTACGTTTTTCCGCCCTGAACGTCTCAGCTGCTGACCAACATGAAGGCAGGCTCTTAGAACCACTGCGTTCCTTTAGGTCAGCAGTAAGATTATTACAAACGGTTGCCATGGACGATTTGTTTTGTTTTCGAAAACAGACAACTTACAGTAAATATCAAAAAGTAAAAAATTAGGAAAGTTACACGACCTTTTGACATAAAAAACAAGTTTCAAAATACTGCTTCAGGAAAAGTTCCCCTTCTTGTGTTTAAACGTTTTAGTAGCTTGTCCTCGTTGCATTATCCTTTTATTGAAACTGATCAAAAGGCGCCTCATCTCAGTTGGCCTTGAAACTGCTTTTAACTCTAACCGCGAAAACAGGATTCTTTGTCGTCAAAAGAAAAGCAAGAAGATACTATCTTACCTTTTTCCACTACATTTTCCTTTAAAATACTGAAAAACGCTTTGTAACATATAAAAGGAAAAAACGAAGGGCCCTATAACTGGACCGGCCTTCATTGCTGATCTGTACGTAGCATTCAACGAAAGATCTGCATACTGAAATATCCAACTCTGTTCTTTGAAATGGCGTCATAATAGACATTTACCGCGCGCGAGCAAAAGAACTTCTGTTCCAAAGCTGACGCACAGAAAACGTTTACTTCATTTTGTGAGTGTTCTTATTACTTAAGGTCTTAAGTTTTTTTTCCCAAAAAAACTCCCTAACCAAGCAACTCCCTAAACAAGCGCCTGCAAACAGGCTAGAGCAGATAAAGGCACTTAAACAATCAACAAAGCATTGGCATGGGCAGTGTAGGAGCCGCTCGTAAAGTCTTTCCTAATTGGTTCATTCTTCCAATTGTTTTAGTATTGACTGGCGTCAGGGTTAGGCACCATAGGAGACTTCTCTTCCGAGCAGATGCTACATACCAAATGGCATTATTAACTTCAGCAATTTAAGACTCGCTTCTTTTTGTACAAGGCTCTGAATAAAACAATGAACGTTTGCAACCAATCCTTTAAAAGGGTTTCTCAGGTAAAACAATTTCTGCAGAATCTGTGGTTACATCAACAAAGCGAAATCCATTAAAATAGTCGTAGCTCCAAGAACATGACCACTTTATATACAAAAATACGTTTCATCATGCGAAAAGTGGCGTTAGAGGTCTTGCTTTTAATGAATGTGATAAGTCACTCGACATTTACTGACATGTTCACTTTGGCCCCAAGTTAAGGGAGATGACCTTGTATTCTAACTTTTAAATACATGAACAAAATCCAGTGGTGTTACCATTTAAATGAAACCTCTCTGACCTCTTTGGCTAAACGCTTGTACGTAGGATCAAAAAAAAAAAAAAGAAATGAGAGTTTTTGCTACAATTTGAACATTGGCCGCTGTTAGGAGTTAGGAGTGAAAGTGTAACTTAGGTCTGTGCCTAAAAGGATCAGTCCGTCTCGCGTAAAGAGAAACAAGGGAGTTTAAGAGGACACTACGGCGACGGCAACGAGAACGTCAAAAAGTAATTGGTTGGCAAAACAGCAACTCTGCAGGTGCATCACGCTTTTTTGTACATTTCTTGGCCGTGACTGCCCGACTTCGACCTGAATCAGGGAGTTTAAGCGATGACGACGACGAAGACGACGGCAGTAAAAACGTCGTTTAAAAAATGAATTTGCTTTCTTTCAAACTTAATCGCGTCTATTTGGAGTCCCTCATTATGTCAAATCCAGGCATCTTTTCCTGGAGTTGAATTCTTAAGGGTTTTATCCAGGTTCAAACTCTCTCTTTTGAAAAGAGAAAGGAGAATTCGTCGTTGTATGTCCACGTCCTCCATAAAACGTCGCATTTGGAGGTTGCACGTCGCAGTCGAGCAGCGGCCGTCAAAGAAATGTACTAAAAAGCGTGATGTACGTGCACAGCTGTTGTTTTGCTCATAAAATCAATTGTTTTTTGAAGTTGTCGTTGTGGTCGTCGCCGCAGTTGCTAAAGCTCCCTATTGCCTAATTTCACAGGTTTTATCGACATCGTGAACATACAAAGACGAACCTCGATAAAGGCGATGTTCTACGAGACAACGACGATTTTTAGTGCAACACAGAGTTGCAATGTTGGTACAGTGTTGCAACCATGCGGAACAAAGTCGCAACAATGCCGCTGTGTTACGTTAAAAATCGTCGTTGCGAATCGTCCCGTGTAACATTATCTGTACTCTTTTGACTTCAGGAGAGTTCGCCTACCAGGAACCGCGCAGGGGTGGGGCTGGGGGGCTTTTAGCCAATTTTTCGGATGGTAAAATAATTTTTTTAAAACTTTGGTTACCCAGATCTGTCATTTGCCACACAAACAAGGTTTAGTAACCTGACAATACTGAAAAACCACAAACAGAGAACAGAGAAACCTTCAGAGAATCCGACTAAAAAATATCCGGGTGACACTCAACCGCTGCGTGTGTTGGGTTCAGCTTCAAAGTCTATTCATTTAAATTTTGGTCTAAGGTGGGGGCC